TATATTAGATATATATATATATATATGTATAAATATATATATGTATATATATATATATATATTTATATATATATTATATATATAGTATATAATATAATATAACTTACTCTGTCCACTTCCAATTTCCTGCTTCCTTCTCTTTCCCTCCGCGCTTGTATATTTACCTCTCAATCGTCCTTTCATTTACCCATCCACTTTCATCACCCCAACCCTCTTTACCCCTCCCTTACCCCACCCCTACCCCCTTACCCTCTTTCCCCTTCTCTCCCCCTCCCCTTGTCCCCCTCCCCCCTCTCCTTACCTTCCCATCCTGTCTCCCTCCCTCATCCTGTCTCCCTCCCTCCCCTCTCCCTGTCCCTCCCCTCTCCCTCCCTCCTCCCCTCCATCCCTGTCTTCCTCCCTCCTGCCCTCCTCCCATCCCTGTCTCCTCCCTCCCCTCCATCCTTAGTCCCTCCCCTCCCTCCCTATCCCCGCTCCCTCCCTCCCTCTCCCCCCTCCATCCTTGTCTCCTCCCTCCCTCCCTCCCCCTTCCTTCCCTTCCTCCCTCTCCCGTCCCCTCCCCCCTCCATCCTTGTCTCCCTCCCTCCCACCCCTTCCCTCCCCCACGTATACGGTCTCGCATTTGTATTCCGCCAGGGCGCATCCATCAATATCACCAGAAAGGACTAAAGGATCCCTACGCCCGCCCGCCCGCGTTCCCGCCCACGCCCGCCCCGCAGCCCGCGCCTTTGCCTACTGCTCGTGGGGAGGGCGGCCGAGCCCTGCCTGCGCGCCCTGCCAACTCTGCCCGCCCTTGCTCGGTCCAGCAGGGAACTCCAGCAGGGCGCTTCCTCTGCCAAAGAAAAGGTTGGTCGTATTTTTATATAAATTTTTTTTTTTCTTTCTTTCCTTTTTTTTATTATTCCGAACGAAATAATCCAAAAAAGGTCATTCGGATAACGAAAGAGATTTTTTGGGAATAATTTCTATTGGCATCATTATCATTCTTCCTCGACTTACGCACGCCCACGGCCGCTACAACGGTGACTGCAGGAGCTTAGGATTATTCATAAATATTAATTAACCGACTCGCGCCTCTTGCCGTTCCGACTGTCGTTATTACTGTCGCCGTTATATTAGTCGCAGTGTCAACAATATCCTCAAAATTACAATTATCAATTAAATTAATGCCACTATTATTTTTTTCTCTTAGATTTTCGAGTTTTCTTTCCTCTTTCTTTACCTTTTGCTTTTCCTCTATCGCTCCTTTCCTTCTTCCCTTTCTTCCCTTCTCCTCTTCGAGCGGACAACAGCATCGCCCTTCAGCCCCTGCCCCTGCCCCCACCCCACCCCCCCCTCACCGCCTACGCACCCCTTTCACGCCTCCGCTCCCCCTCCTCCCTCCTCCTCCCCATCCCCCTTTTCCCTCCTCCCCCCCAATCCCTTCCGACCTCCGCCCCCCCTTTTCCCCTCCTCCTTTCCAACCTCCTCCCCTTTTCCCGCCTACGCCCCCCTCCCTTTCCCGCCTCCACCCCCACCCCCTTCCTCTACCCCCCCTTCCCCTCCCCCGCCCCCTCCGCTGTTGTGAGGAAGTAGGACGTTCCACAAAGGCTGCTTATGATGACCCTCCCCCTCGGCCGCCGTCCGACGATAAAAGTTGGCCCGAGACGCTGTTGTCTTGGCCAGCTCCTCCAGCGCCGCACTCTGTCTAACGAGCACGCCCTTTTGACCCTGGACCCTTGACCTACCACCCTGGACCCTTTCCTTTTCAACACAGCACGCAAGCAGACAATGGGATATACTTTCACACTCACGCACACACCACAAACACACACGCACACACCAACAACAAACACCCAAACACCCACAACCCCCCCTCCCTCCCTCCCACCCCCCTGACCCCTCACCCCGCCACGTGGGTACTAAATATCAAAGCTTTTACGGAGAACTTTTTTCATTACTCTCAGTAAATGCATTATCTATTCCGACGTCACCTTGTTCGCCAAAGTTTCCTTTTGGGGGAATTAAAGACGCATCAGAGACCACTTCCTTCAGTTCTGTAAATTACAGAAGCAGCTGCTGTACTCTGAACATATTTTTTTGACTCGTTATATATACTGGTATCTGTGTGTGTTGGGGGGGGGGGGGGTGCTTGTGTGTGTGTACGTTGGGGGGGGAGGGAGGGTGCTTCTGTGTGTGTTTGTGTGTGCTTGTGTGCGCTTGTGTGTGTGTGTGTGTGTGTGTGTGTGTGTGTGTGTGTGTGTGTGTGTGTGTGTGTGTGTGTGTGTGTGTGTGTGTGTGTGTGTGCACGTGCATACGTGAATGCAAACCTTTTCTTCCGACTAAAGCTCCAGCCCCACTACCGAAGACCCCCCTGTCACGTGACCCCCCCCCCATCCAGCTGCCCCCCCCCCCAACACACTTTCCCCACCACCGAAACCCGAGGCAGAACGAACAGCAAAAGCCAATAACAGCGACGAACGCAAACATCCAAATAAATACGACAACGAGAGCAACTGCACGGCCGTCAGTGGCATCAACGTCAGAGCCGCCTGCACCGACCGCAGCGGCGAAAGCTCTCGGCATTTCGTTAACGGAATGACGCCGCCGAACAGAAGGCCCGGCCGGACGAAGCAAGGAGGTGGCCGCTTTAACGGGGCTCCCTCCTTGCGGCCAGCTATTTAATTGTCGTTATGATCTTTATCTTCGTTGTCGTTATAATCTTTATCTTCGTTGTCGTTATAATCTTTATCTTCGTTGTCGTTATAATCTTTATCTTCGTTGTCGTTATAATCTTTATCTTCGTTGTCGTTATAATCTTTATCTTCGTTGTCGTTATAATCTTTATCACCCTTGCCATCATCCTTGTTATACATATTATCCCAGTCATTA